GAATTTAAAATGTGAAGCAAATTCAACACTGTTAGTCATCAGGGAAATGAAAATTAAAACCACAATGAAATATCATGACATACCCATCAGAATTGCCATGGTAAAAAGTGGTAACTATACACAACAACAAAAATCCATGGCAAATGCTGGTGAGGATGCAGAGAGACTGAATCACTCGTACATTGCTGGTCACAACGTAAACTAAAATTGTACAACCACTCAGAAAAACAGTTTGGCAATTTCTGGGGGAAAAAAATGAAACATGCATTTACCATACAACCCAGCAATTGCACCTCTGGGTGTCTATCTCAGAGAAGTGAAAACTTATGTTTACATTAAAACCTGTACACAAATGTTCACAGCAGCTTTATTCATAATAGCCCCAAACTGGAAACAGCCTGGATGACCCTTACAAGCATATGCACACCGTGGCATACTACTCAGCAATGAAAAGGGACAAACTATTGATACACACAACTTGGATGAATCTTCAGGGGATTTTGCTGAGTGAAAAAGGCAATCCAGAAAGGTTACAGGCTCTATGGCTCTATTTACATGTTTTGAAGTGACAAATTTTAGAAATGGAAAACAGATTAGTGGTTGCCAGGAATTAGGAACGGGGTTGAGAAGTTGGAGAGGGGAGGTGGGTATGGTTATAAAAGGACGACATAAGGGGTCTTTGTGGTGATGGAAATATTCTGTGTCGTGATTGTGGTGGGAGAAACAGGAACCTACAGAGATGATAGTATCAAGTAGAATGAAACACACAAACACAAATGAGTACAAGTAAAATTGGAGAAATCTAAATAAGATCAGTGAATTGTATCAATGTCAATGTACTTGTGATACTGCACTGTAGTTTCATAAAATGTTACCATTGGGGAAAACAGGGTAACACAGTATCTCCTTATTATTTCTTACAAGTGGATGTGAATCTACAATTATCTACACATTTTTTCCGATAAAAAGTAAGGTAAAATAAAACTGCAGGCCTAAATATCGATCCTTTAGAATAAGAGGGTTTCAGCGTGGATGGGAATGTTTTATTTAGGTAGAGCACCTATGCAACTGCGCAGATCGGATGGGGTTTGGGGAGAGAAGTAAAATGAGGAAGAGGGACATTGAAACTCAGTTACATTATCTGAAGCAGCTATGACAATTCTGCTCCCAGCTCCACACAAATGAAAAGCA